ACGATTCTAACTATTTTTCAACGTTGATTTAACATCATGTGCTATCTGGGTTCCCACCTCAGGAATGTTTTGCTCTCAGCAACAATTAATATTAATATGTTCTCATATGTAACTAAGCATCAGTTTCTTCCCATTTTGTTTGTTGCCAACATTTTCTGCAGACCATCGATGAGTTTTGCTCCCGCCTTGCGAAAGACGATCCATCAGTTTGTTCCTACCTTCACTTATTTTCCTATAAACCACAGATTTGTATTTCATTGCAATCTAGGTACATCATACAATTTTAGGCACTCAGTCTCAGCACCCCAGCCCAAATTATTTTATGGATTTTAGTGTTTTTTTTGCCATCTTTAGATCATAAATGACCACTTCCTGTCCACTATTTTGAACACTTTTTGGATGTACAGCTCTCCACAGTGTGTCTGTTTGTGCCGTCTTCTCTTCATTCTTTCCAAAATGTCACCTTGCCAGCCTCTGCACAAATTGTTGCCAATTTTGCCTTTTGTTTTCTGACATTTTTGTAATTCTTAACATTAACATCAGGTTTTCTTCACGTCTTTCAACATCACCACGAGACAAATTCCTTCTGGAAATATCCCAAAACTATTGAAAACTAAAAAAGACTGATTCACTGGAACTAAGAATGATCTACTTCATTTTAACAGGAAAAGCTATTGTTTTTGTTTTCTTGTCTTTTGCTAAATGTCCATCAGAAAGGGAGCATTTGTCAAATTCCCTGTAAGGTCAAATCAAATGGTGTGAAATGATGAAACCGTACGGAAAATATTCAGACCACTTTAAATGTTTCACTCTTTTCCAAAAGGTTTCAAAAGGTGTCATGAATCTACATTCAGAATCCCATCTTAACAGAAATGTAGAATTTTTTGCAAATTTTTTAAAAATCGAATAACTTTTTTTAATAAATTTGCAAAAATGTCTACATTTATTTTTTTTCTGTCGAGGTGAGTGTACATTCATGAAAAACAATATGAACTCTTTCGATTTTAGCAAATGCCTGCAATGAAACAAAGAGTGAAAAATTTTAAGTAGTCTGAATACTTTCCATACCCACTGTTGGGTCTTCATTATATTATTCTGTAAATCTCTGAAAGGCAAGAAAATAAAAAAACATGTCATAACTATAATTATTATTATTCCCTGTGATTCTGACAGAGATGCATCTAACCTGGAAGCTAAAATAAAGCAAAACGGTCTTAAAATAAAAATAAAAACACAGACTGCACATTAGCTGACATGTTATTGCGAAAGCAGATGTGTCCATCAAAGTCCTTCTACTCACTCTTTGCTTTCTCACTCTTGCGTGAAGGCTTCCAGCGGATGCAGGAGCGATGCTCATCCAGGTAGAAGAGTCGAACCAGTCCTTTGGATCCCGCCTTCAGCTTCACCATCTGCGTCCCGGACTGCATCACGCTCATGCATCGCTCCACTGCGGACAACGACACACAACAACCGCGCTGAGAAAACTCATTTAAAACACAAAGGGAGCAGGTGTGTGTGGATTTATTTATATTTTCTCAGAAGGAAGTAAGGTGACGTGTCACAGAGTCGCACAGTCATTAGCAGACAGCAGCTGATGTGACTCAGCGTCCAAGGTGCAACAGAGATGCCACTGTGTGAAGGCACAAGGCTGCTTCTCTGTTACCCACTGACCTGCTGCCGGGAGAAACTCAGCAGAGGGAATAAGTAGAAATGACCCAAAGAGGGACACTCATCTCATCTGTATCTTTCTCTGTTCTTAGTTTCGCTGAAAGCCTGAGGGCTGTTCAAAAAAAAAAAAAAAAAAAACTTTGCATCATGCTGAGGCAGGTGGAATGTGTTTTTTTCTTACACACAGAAACAGTGTCTGTTTCTGAGATTTCCACCAAGTGCTAAAGCAGTAAATGGGCAAATCACTGCTTTAAAGGGGTGATGGTATGTGTTTTACATGCACACTGAATCATTTCACAGCACAATCAAGTAACTATACTGTCTTTAGTTGTTATAAAAATGCTCACATATGGCTTTGACTTTGCGATTTAAGTCCTTGATATTGTGTCTCTGTCTCTTTAAGAAAGCCCTGCTCTTTCCAACACTCCGCCTTCAGGAAGTTATCACAACGGCGCTCATCTATCAACGCTTTAACAACGTTTTTATCAGCGTTTCACCAACAAGCAGTTTGCATTATGAGCTCAGCAGATGTGCAGTTCCACCTGGTGTTTGCTAATTGCTGCTGGCTAGTCTGAAGGAGCTGAGTGGGGAGGTTTTTGCGGGATGGCTGCTCTGTGAGAAGGAAGTTTGTAAGCTTGGGTTCTGCAGCTCTGAGGAGGAGCTTCGTCTTCAAAAGCGGCGCTCGGTCCCACCAAGAGTGTTTCACAGCTGACTGGTTGCCAAAGGAGATTAAAGGATTTCTCAAACATGCATGAAGGAGTCAAAGCAACACTTCAGGTGTGTTGTTGATGAGGGAAGAGCATTACAACATAATGTAAATTTCAAAAAAGTCAAAAAATTTGTTAACATATTTTTAGAAGTAATTAAAAAACATCAAATCTACTTCAGCATCTTCAGATCTCAGAGTGAATACAGTCCAGGTGTTGATGGTAACCGGCTGCTCTTTGGTGTTTGCTGCTGTTTTGTTCTTCTTTTTTTTTTTGATGGGGAAAAAGAATTCAGATGAATTCATTATGGTGTCACTTTTGAATAATGCTGTATTATGTTCTAAACAGTGTGGCATTTTTAAATGTCACTACCCATCAGCTTCAACACGACTCACCCGCGAGCTGATGTGCAAACTATTTTCCGACAAAGCACTCATGGGCAGATGGTGGCTCACCAAGGCACTGCTGTGCTACAACAAGTCTGCAGCGTTCTGGCAGTCACCTAAAGCAAAGCTTTAAGTCATGGATCTTTAAATGAGCAGAAACAGGAAAAGTGGAGGAGAAAAGAGAGGCGGAGATGGGAGTATGAAGGTAGTCTGTCTGATTGTTGTACTGCCCAGCTTTACAACAAGCATAAAAGGTAAAACTTCAGACTTTTTGTTTTTTGTGACAGCGTTTTCAAGAGACACAGACAGCAATGTCAACAAAAAGTGAAATTTCCCTCCTCATTAGTGGAGCCTGTTATGTACGTACGAGCGCATTCACTGTGCTGCAGATGTAGGACACAAAGCATGCTTCAGCAGCACAGATATATAAACTAAAACTCACATCGCATGTTGAAAGGTAAAGCATCTGCTCTTTTCATATTTTCAATCTTTGATGTCTAGTTTAGTTAAAGATCAGCATCTGACAGGGAGAAAACCTGAATGCATGACCATCAATATACAGGATCAATAAATACTTAATTTGGAATTAAGTATTTATTGATTACATGTCTCATGTTGGGGGTGCTTTGTTCTGTGTTATTCAAAGTGCTGGTTTCCCACCATATAGAAAATTCAATTTTGCTCTCATTTGACCTGAGACACATTTTCTTTTTGTCTCCTACTTGGAAAACGTTAAATAAAACTTCTTAAGACTTTATTTCAGACCAGATTTATGGCTCTCTCCCTTGACTACCTCAGATTAATGCTCTGATTTAATCTAGGCCTCTTTTAATTGTCTCAACAACTTTGTCCCCAAAACATCCGGCGTGTTCTTGGGTTTTCATTACGCTGCTTGCTCACTACTACTTCATATGTCAGGCTGCAGAGCTGTAGGCGCTGGAGAATTTGACTACCTTTTGAGGAAGTAATTCAGCCATTTCATTCAGGTGTGTTGGATCAGGGACACATCAAAAGGTTGCAGGACACTGGAACTGAAGATCCCTGCTGTATAGAATATGTATTGGGTGATGTAAAAAGGTGTAAGAAATTCAATATACTACTAAAATGACTGCTACTGTACTAGGACAACGTTATCATTATGTCACTGTCATGTTATTTCCCTTAGCAATTTCTCCACATGTTTATGGATGCCTACCAATAGCTAGCCAGAATATGAGAGAGTCAGCCCTACTGTTAGAGCCACTTCGAGCATTCTGCATCCTGACGTGAGTGAATCTCAGTATAGACAAAGAGTCCCTAATATTTAAGTAGGAGTTGTGTAAATTCATTAGAAGTACATCAGTGAACAAGCATAAATAAATAAATAAATAAATAAATAGCAAGTATTATTGTTGTTACATGTTTTGTCTTTGCATTTCAGGCATACCATACAAAGCAGCTGTGCCACTGTGTGCCATTTCATGCATTTGCCATTTCGACTCAATTGTCATAAAACTTTATTATTGTAATATTATGACTTTATTCTTGTAATTTAAAATAAAAATCATAGCCTGGACCTAATATTCAGTCATAGAGTCGGCCTGAAGCCTAAATAAATAGAAGCTTGTAAAAAGCTTGTCAAAAAAGATGGCGGCCTTGGGCAAGCTGACATCACTGTTAACTATGGAAATCCAATGAGTTTCTATAATTCAGATGTTCCAAACAAATTTCCAAAAGTTAAATCTTCAAAAACCAAAAAAAAATGATTAATAAAATTATTGTCCAGCCTTACCAGTGCCACAGAACATTGTTTTACTTATCTAGAAATAGACAGCGGTAACCTAAGGGTCAAATTACATATATGACAAAATTATATAGATAGAAAGGTGAAGATATAAAGGTATTTAATAAGAGCAAGATCCATAACAGAGTTTTGGGGTAAGTTAATTGTACGTCAAAAATGGGATCAGTTAAGCAAATTAGTCAAGACCAAACTGTGCAGCAGTTTTCAAAACTGAACATTTTTTGAATATTCACATCTTAAAGTAAAAGATTGATGAACATGGTTGTTTTTGGTATCCAGCTGTGACAAAGTTTGACAAATGAAAAACTTTACAAAAATTTAAGGGTAAAATATTCTTTTTTTTTTCTAAAGTAGTAGGATTTCGGTGGTGTTGCAAAAAGCACACATTCAGAAGCTGCTCACAAAAACACCAAAATGCCTCTTCTGATGACACGGATGATTATCTTCAAAGACAGCTAAAGTCAAACCACTCATGGCGCTAAAACACATGTTTAAGCATGCTTGACAGTGCACACACTCAGCAGAGCGCTTGTCAACAGCCTCTCTATCCCGAGGACAGGCTTTGGTATGAATTTTGTTTGGATATTTGACAAGTTTTTCTTGGTCGCAGATGCTTACTCCAGGGATTATAAAACATACAAAAAAACACATGAATCCTGGAAATTTAAATCACCTAACACAGTGAAAAGAAAGCCATAGATCCACCACGGAGATCACAAGCTGCCATGTACAGTAATTGTGGAGTTTCTGGGAATCTGTTTTACAAATGCAGCTGGATTTTAGTTCATTGCTAATTGTATTAAATTTCAGCTTGTCACTGGAAGTAGGGAGAGATCTCTGACAAGGGATGTGGCATGATGGATTTAGAGAAAACCTAATGGATTGCTAGGGTCAAGCTTTCTAGCATCTGAGCATGACGTTACATAAAATACAAGGGATTACTGTTGTGAAAATCCGAGATTACAATTGGTTAAATAACAAGCCACGGCAACTAAAATTCAGAGAGACGTCTTCGCATGACGTCTCTCTGACTGTCGAATGGGAGGAGGTAATATAAGAGTTTAAATATTGCCTTTTTCCCCAAACTCTCATTATACGTTTTTATATGTCTAAACGTATTGATTTTTAGGGGATCAAAGTCTGTCCTATTTGAGAAGCGAGGTCTGGGTCAATATTTTTTTTTTTGCCTCATTTCTTTGTTGAAGAGCAGCACTTATACTGGATGCTAACAGATGTTTGCAACAATTACTTTTATGTATAGAATCTAAAGTAACAACACCGGTAAAGTAAAATGACTTCATCTTCAGCGATCTGAAACACAGAATTGACCCATTGTAGCTTGGTTAACTAGCGGACTGTTTACTTTGTCGTTGTTGACCAGCAGAGTGACGGAAAGAAAAACCAGAGACTTAAAGTTTTTAAAAAAAATCTTGGCTGAGTACTGCAAGGAGGAGCTTTGAGAAATTGGGCGGAGCTTTGTATGAGGTAGCCTTTATGCCTCCCTAAATGGCTACCAGAGGAGATTCAAGTATTCCTCAAACATGCATGAAAGTTGAGCATCAAAATATTGCATCACAAATCTTTTTGTGCATACACAACAGTTCTACATGGGGCCACAGGTTACTGAACAATCATGTTTTTTGGCCTCTGAGAGGAAGCCGGAGTTCCCCGAAAAAACCCATGAATACACAAAGAGAAATAGTGAACACAAGCAGAAAGCCAAGACGAGATTCAAACCCAGGACTTGTTGCTGCAAAGAAACTGTGCTACCAACTGTACCACCACACAGCCTCCCTATATTTATCCATAAATTTATAGTTGCATCATTTTCTAATATTGTGCAAACCTTGTCTCAACCATTAACTCTTCCATTATAAGCCAACATGTTTCTGTAGGGATTAAA